TTGTTTCAGAGGGTCTCCACCTCTATGGTATCCCAGCCCCTTGAAATGTGCATAAAACACAATGTATACTGCTTTAGTTTGACTTGGCCATGATTTTTGAAAGAAGCAGACTACATTGATGCAACAAAGAATCCTGCTTAAAAAGATACAACTGAGTCTCCTGGTCTTCGCTTCTGAGTTCCTACACTTTAGAAGAAAATTTTTCAACACTGCAGTTGAAGAAGGGGTGGATGGGAACTACAACACAGAGGCACAAGTACAACAGCTTCTTTCTGAGGGACGGACACAAGCTGGAGGAATTTAGAGTGGCTTTGAGCAACAGGTTCCAAATGCTGCAAGAACTAGAAGAGGAGGATACAGTGGATGGCAGATGGAAGAGAGTGAAAGAAACCATAACATAAGAAGTGGTTGTCGACAGAAACATTGAGGAAGATTCACGAAAGGAAAAAGAAGAAAGCATCCCTCAGCAACAGCAGAGCAAGAGCAGAGAAGGCCAATGCACAAGAAGATTTCACAGCTGCCAACAAAGAGGTGAAGAAGCTTATTAGAACCGACAAGCAGAACTATGTTGATAGTCTGGCAGCCAAAGCAGAAAAAGCAGCAAGAAATGGCAACATGAAAGATCTGCACTCCATCACAAAGATGCTGTCAGGGAAGTTCTGCAAGCCAGGTAGGCCGGTGAAAGACAAGGAGGGAGAGATATTTTAGGGAGAGGAACAACAAATGGACAGATGGACGACAAATGCCAGCAAACCCACCAACCATCAATCCAGCAGCAGAGGATCTACCAAAAGACTGTACTGCGCCCACCAGAGAAGAGATCCGCAAGGCAGTAGGCCAGCAGAGTAACGACAAGGCAGCAGGTCCAGACAGCATACCAGCAGAAGCATTGAAGGCGGACCTGGAAACAACGGTAGAGATACTGTTCCCGTTGTTCAAGAAAATCTGGATGGAGGAACAGGTGCCCACGGAGTGGAAGAAGGGATACAATATAAAGCTACCTAAGAAAGGCGACCCTTAGCAAGTGTTACAACTACCGAGGGATTACACTACTGTCCATTCCAGGGAAAGTGTTCAACAAGATCATCCTGAATAGAATGAAGGACCAAGTGGACACCCAACTCCGTGATCAGCAGACAGATCCTGTATGGATCAGATTGCCACCCTGCGTATCATTATTGAGCATTCGCTGGAGTGGAACTCTTCCCTCTACCTCATCTTCATAGACTATGAGAAGGCTTTTGACAGCCTGGATAGGAGTGCCTTTTGGAACCTTCTCCGGCATTATGGTGTGCCAGCCAAGATTGTTAACATAATCCGAAACTCGTATGATGGTATGACCAGCAGAGTGGTCCATGGAGGGATGGATACCTGCTCTCCCCCTTTCTCTTGCTAGCCATCGATTGGATAATGAAGATCACAACGGTATGTACAAGAACAGGAATCCAGTGGACACCCTTCACATAACTTGACGACCTGGACTTTGCGGATGATTTGGCCTTGCTATCCCACACTCGACAGCAGATGCAAGAGTAGACAGAAGGCACAGCTGCCACCTCCACTCAAGAAGGTCTGAATATCAACAAGCAGAAGACAGAGATCCTCAAGGTAAATAACACCTACAACAACCCAGTCCAGTTGGACTGTTAGTTGGGCGTTAGAAGTGAAGGCCTTCACCTACCTGGGCGGTGTCATCGACAAGCAGGGTGTAATAGACGCTGACGTCAAGGCACGAATATGTAAAGCAAGAGCAGCTTTCCTACAGCTGAGGAACATCTGGAGCTCGAAGAAACTGGGCCTAAGGACAAAGGTCAAGCTGTTCAACACCAATGCCAAGGCAGTCCTTCTCTATGGTGCAGACATAAAGGACAACAGTGGCAACAATGAAGAAAGCACAGACCTTGATGAAGATCAATGAAGATCAACTCCTGTCTGCGAAGAATCCTCCAGATCCGCTGGGCAAACACCATCATCATCCAGGACCTTTGGCAGAGAACCAATCAGCTTCCTGCAGAAGATGAGATCCTGAAACGACGCTGGAGATGGATTGGCCACACACTCCACAAGCAAGCTTCCAACATCACCAGGTAAGTGCTCACCTGGAATTCCCAAGGCAAAAGGAAAAGAGGAAGGCCAAGAAATACGGTCTCCCAGCCCCTTCATGTGTCTGATACCCGAAATCACTCAAGGTCAGTTAAGCGCAACCTGGTGCCAGGGCCCCGACCCAGCATTGAGTTGGACCCTGAGCCGCTGAAGCCCTCCCAGCTGCAGGAGGAAGGAGAGAGGGTCTGTGTTTTGTGCTAGCCGGACCGCCCTCGAAAAGAGCTCACTTAAATCTCACAGCTCCCTCTTCAGCTCAGTCAGCTGGAGATTTTAATACTGGCGTCAATGGGCCTGTTGTGCTGCATGCGCCCCTACGAAGAAGTACTGTTTTTACATCAACCCAAATAAAGCATAAAAAGAGTGTGTTTCAAACACACAACACCTGGGTAACCGGTCCCCCTTCAGTAGTCGACCCTCCCCCAGTTGTCACTCTATCTCTCTGTCGAACCGTCAAAACAGCCCAAAAGAGAATGTGCACAAAACACAACCCAAGGGTATTAGGTCCCTCTTTGCTAGGCAGCCCAGCCCCAATCGTTTGTTAAATTCAATCGTTCATACAGAACATTGGAAACTTATTCCCTTACAGGTAGTTTTATCATTTGTAGGTGATTCCCGATCATGTTTCATGATTATTTATTAAAATTATATTCACTCTATCTGAGCAAATTAGAGATTCCGTACAGTTGTGAACATTACTTGCTCCAATTTGCTCGCAGGCCCCTGTGGTTTCAGGCGGTTGTCGAGATCTCAGTGAGAAGCAACGTGGCTGACGTGCTTCGCATCAAAGTGCAAAATCTGCTAGCAAAAGGAGCGATAGAACCAGTCCCCCACCCCCCGCGCAGAGCCGGTCAGGGTTTTACAGCCGCTACTTCCTCGTACCACAAAATGATGGTGGTACCCTCCCCATTTTAAATCTGAGACATCTGAACAAAGCCCTCATGAGATGGCCGTTCAGAATAACTACCAAATAAATCCTTGCGCAAGTTTGCCCGAGAGATTTTTTTTGGATCTCAAAGATGCATACTTACACATTGAGATAACGCCCAATCACAGGCCATTCTTGAGATTCGCCTTTGAAGGGAAGGCACATCAATGCACGGTCATACCGTTTGATCTGTCCCTAGCACCTCGTACTTTTACGAAGTGCATGGATGCAGCACTTTCTCCCCTGAGGCAACAGGGAGTGCGCATGCTGAATGCTGCTGTGCATCTCGATGATTGGCTCTTTATGTCTCAGTTGAGGACTAAATTATTGACACACAGATCCATGATACTATTCCCCAAGGAATGCCTATGTCTCAGGATCAGTTTTTCCAAGAGCAAACTGTTACCCAGTCAAAACGTAAATTTTCTGGGTACAGTTATCGACTCTACAACGATGAGAGTGCGGCTCACACCATAGCCCACTCTCTCTATCCAACAGCTGGTAGCCTCCTTCTGGGTAGGTCCACGGGTGCTCTTCGGGAAGTTTCAGAGGCTTCTCGATCTCATAGTCACTGCATCTTCAGTACTCCAGCTAGGATTATTGCATATGCGCCCCCTTTAGCACTGGCTGAAGTGCTGTGTGCCAGCCTATGTGAGGAGGTTAGGCTGCCTGCACATTATGGTGAACCAGCACTGTGTGAGAGCTGAAAAGCCTGGAAAGCCCAGAACTGATACCAGTTGGGCGTTATGTGTGTGGCCTATAGGAGGAAAGTAATTTTCACAGACTCCCCCAACCAAGGTTGGAGAGTGCTCTACGACGGCAAGTCTGCTTAGGTTTCCAACAGAGATCACCACAACCAACCTTTGACAGGACATCATTCTCTGGTCTGCAACAGCCAGGGCAGTAGTTTTGGTAGAGCTTACTGTCACATGGAAGGGAGGAATGGAGGCAGCCTTTAAGAGGAAAAAAGATAGGTACCTCGACCTCACAGCTGAATGCAGAGATGCTGGATGGTCAGCTGGTTAAAGTCGGCTGTTGGGGGTTCGTAGGAGCATTTCACTTCCTGAAGGAGCATGGGAGTCACCGGCCCCAAACTCAGAAAGGCTCTGAAAGACTGAGCAGGGGAGCTTTTGGCTTTGGTTAAGAAGGAAGTACCTAACAGGCGTGGGGAAAGCAAGGGTCATAGGGTCAGCTGCAGCGGGTGAACATCCCACCACTGTGAAATGTTCCGGGATTAATGGAATGAAACATGAATGAAGGGTGGCTCCCAGCTGATGACCCTGCAGCTACATGCAACGACATCGTCGGAGGTGCGTCAAGCAGAAAGGCTCAGCAGGCAGTCACTTGCCTGTGCTACCACCTTTATTATTATTATAATAATAATAAGGGAAAAAAGCAAAGCTTTTCTTAGCAAAGCTATGTTAATAATAGAGTTAATTTAGTTAACTTAATTTATGAATACATTTCTTTTTTTCTTAATACAAGGATCATTTTAAGCAAAGCAACAGATCATGTTGTGAAGCAATAGAACTGGTTACAAACAGGAAGTGTTTTATTGAAGTGGTTTTCTATTTCGTAGCAAATCTATTTGCTCATCTGCTTGGCTTCTTCAAGTACAACCTCTTTTGATAATTTACCAAATTTGCCTACATTATCATCAGGGCTCATTTTACTCACATAAAAATTTCCCCATGCAGATCACACAAAACATGACTCAAGGCCATATCTTCTTGCCACATACAAGTTAACACAGGGCTTATCTGTTTACTGTCTGCAATCAAAATGCAATCACTGTTAAATAGTAGCTATCCCTACTTAATACAATCAGTATCCCACAGAAAAGAAAGCAATGTGTCTTTTATATCCCCATTCAAATACACATCCTGTTTGAGGATCACAGCTGCTGTGTGTGTGTGTGTGTGTGTGTCATTTTGAACTCAAAACCCTGTTGAACATCTGGGCGGACGCGCATGCGCATCAACAATTAGGTGAACAACTCGCAAGCAACTTTTTAAACGATTACGTTACTCTGCCTTTTTCCTGTTAAAAAGGTGACCGCCAGTTTGTTTTGGGGTGGCGTAAAACGGATATGTGAAGAAATCAGATGTAGTGATGTTGCAAATGCCATTTCACAGGAAGAAGTTGAACTTTTCTGCAATGCGAGGCTCTAAAGTGGAGTGCAGTTAGGCTATGTTACTCCAGACCGGCGGACACATCGCTTTTGTTTTGAACCTGACATTGGTTTTATGTCATTTTTTATAAGAAAACGTCATTCAAGTCGGTTTCTTATGATTTTTATCCCGCGTATGCTTAACTCATCATGACAAAGGAAACTCTCAGGACCGTGGCAACCACGACGCTTTTCATCTGTTTATGTTTTTCATCTTTTAAAGCAGAGATCCCTTCTTGCCACGGCGCCTACGACCTTTACTTTGTTTTAGACCGGTAAGTAATCGGAAAAATATATATCCAGTCTACTTATGGCGCATAGTTACTTTTTATGGTTGCATATTTACACAATAATACAATAGGCTACTCGTTTTTGTTAAGTTGTGAATAAGGTCCAAGAATTACTGCCCGTGTCAGTTTGACCTGATTTTACATGTGCCAGTTACTACTGGCGACCAGCACTACCCAGGGGCCACACGACACTAGGCTGAAAAAAACAACAACTCTTTTTGAGTCTTACAGTTTTGATTGATCCAGCTGGGGAATTGATGATTGTAAAAGCTATGGAGAAACGTTGTCATCTTCTGTTTCTGAAGTCTTGATTGTGACCTATCTATCTATCTATCTATCTATCTATCTATCTATCTATCTATCTATCTATCTATCTATCTATCTATCTATCTATCTATCTATCTATCTATCTATCTATCTATCTATCTATCTGTTTAATAGATGGACACAAGTTCAAAAAGACTAACTGGCTATCTGCCTGTCATCTCTATCTATCTGCATTGTTTCTTATTAAATTACACCCATTTGAGAATAGTTGTTGGCCTCAGTGCAGTCCACAGGATGATGGCACTGATATGCTGAGGGCAGCACAGAACTAGCTAGGCATAATGACCAGTCAAAGACTGATCCGGCCTTGAGTGTCTGACTCTGTTCCCGGCCCCGGAATGAAACTTGCCTTCACACCTCCAGATCATTCCTTATAATAAATGTGGTTTGATGTTCTTTGGTGGTCCCACTAAAGCTTATCTAGATTCTCTGACCTTGGCTTGATACAAGGAAGACGATGCATAAAAAATTATTTTCTAATTACCTATCGCTTGTGTTTTATGTTCTCAGCACATGCAGTGGACTATAATTATTAGTTCATTACCCTGTAGCTATTACATCAAGGGCACATTTTACACACCTTTTTTCATTAAAGACACTGCATTGCATTGAGGTTAATCTCACAAAAGTCCACTTCCATGGATTTTATGTTGTGAAATGTAGATTTCTCATATATTGAGAAATTATTATGAATGCATCTCTGTATCTACAGTAACACTGATATGTTCATTGATAGCTCTGCTTGATTTTATGTTGATTTGTGTGGTGTTCACTGTATTTGCTCTGGCTTTTGAGTTCTAGCTTGGCAAAAGTTGTTTTTTGTTATGCACATTTAAAAAAAAATATATTTTTACAAAATATTGAAAAAGGTTGTTTTAAATGGCAATATTATTTCACAATATTACTGTTTTTTTTCATCAAATAAATTTAGCTTTGGTGAGCATAGTAGACATATAATAGCAAAAAAATACATTAGCATGGACATCGGCCTCTGACTGGTAGCTTGATGTTTGGTGTTGGAATGATGTGTTTAAGACTGAGTGCTGCTGGGAACTGAAGTGGCCAGTAATAAAGTGCCTTGACTCAATTTGTATTGTGTTGGATGACAGACTTCCTCTTTTCTCTGAGATACAAGAACTAATTCTGAAGTGTTGCTGACTCAGCCTCTTTGCCACAGTGTAATCAACAGCACATAATTTAAATTTACAATAACCACATGAAGAGATTTGACGTAAAGATTTAAGTATAATTGCCTTAAGCTGTTTCTTTGCTTTGCTTTTTTCCTTTTTTTGTGCTGACATTGTTTTTAATGCTTCGTTACAGATCTGGAAGCGTGGGGGACGACTGGAGTCAGATCTATGGCTTTGTCAAAAATCTTACAGAGAGATTTGTGAGGTAAATATTCTTGCGTTATTTCTGTTTATTGTTCTACGTCAAATTTTGAATGTAACTCCCAATCCACCTCATCAAATGAAGTTAGCCATAACAACTTGAATCAAAGCTAATTGCTAACTTGGCTACTCAGTAGCTACACATCTGGTTATGAGATGGCCCTTGGGTGGGGGTGGGGATATAAAAAAAAATCACAGATGAATGTGATGAACTTATGTAACGTTGACTCAATGTATGTGCCAGTACAGACGGTAGCGACCTAGCCAGAAGAAAGCAGTCTGCTTGAGAAAATAGCAAAGGGAGCAGGTGGGAGTGGGTGGCAAGGAGGCTCAGTCTTCTGGGCTGTGAGAATGGCCATTTGCACTGCAACCATCCAACAGCACACTTATCCCTCACACATGAAAGGAGAAGACGCAGCCAATGTACTTTAAGTCATGAGTGCAGGAAGACCAGTGCAGTCTGCCATAGATTTTGATGGTCTTCTGTTGTGCCATGCCATGTGGTGTCTTGTTAAGAGTTGAAGGGACCTGGTGTATATTAAGTATCTTAAGGATCTAGTATAAGAATTATCTCAAAGCTGTGCGAAGGGTTCCCGTGTTGTTTTATGGTGTAATAAGCGACCAACCCGAGTGATGACACAAGTACTTTACAACATGTCTTTATATCTTCAGTAACATTCAAGATAAGTTCCCTGTCTGGGAAATTTACGCAGGGCATCGTAATACCATTTGGCGATTCATTGTTATATTTATCCCTCAATCAGTCTGTCAAAATGTTCAGTCCTCCTGCCTGTTCTTCATTTGATTTTTGTTACTAAAATTTGGCTGCTTGAGCACATTTGGATGTTCTCCCTGAGTATCTCATGTGGGGGATGGTTGTAGATTGGATGTCATTCTGAGTGAGAAAAAGCAGCACATCTCCTTATGCTTAGTCCTGAGACCTGACTTCAAATGTGTAGAGGAACGCAACATGTTCCTATGCTGTATCGGCGTCGAGACAGAAGGTTGTGAAAAAGACCAACTGCTTCATTGAAATATACTTGTTATAATCAGCTATAAATTTGTTTTCAGATTATGTATCCGTTCCCTTTGAGGAAAAAAAACACATTTTTATTCCAATATCATTGACACAAAATCCCTGTTTTTTTGTAAAAAAGCAGTGGTGTTATTGTTAACTAAAACTATTGAAATAAAACTGAAATAATATTATTATATCAAAAACTAAAATAATTTTTTTGTTTTGTTTTGTTTATTTACTTTGTCAACTAACTGAAATGAAATGTTTAATTTCATGTGTTAAAACGACTTAAGCTAAAACTGAAATAAAAATAAAGATAAATAGAAAAACAAACACATACAAAAATTAAAAAATAAAAGCAATTTCAAAAAATGATTTTTTTTTGGACAGCATGAACAAAGCAACACACCATAGTTAAAAGTCATTTGTTGTATTTTTTTAAAATTTACTTAGACCTAGAAATGCACATCACTGTTTTCCAGAAAAATCGTGTGGCTGCATGTTTGCGATATTCGCAAACATGCAGACACCTTTCACAATATTCCCACCTTTCGCAATATTCATATTGCGAAAGGTAGGAGGAATAAATATAGGAAGTGACAGGTATAAATATAATCACCAACAGGATGTATGCATGAATCACACATGACGACCTGTTTCCTGTCGGTATATCAATTATTCACTTCCTTGGTCTAAGCAGAAGGGTTTTTTTTCCCAGTCACAAGCTTTTATTAGCTAGTCACATTGGCTATCTTACTCATAAACCCTGATGATTGCAAAAGGAACATGAGGACAGCAAGACTGTCAACATCACAGGATTTCTCTGATAGCATCATTAGCACCAATGCTTGTATTTAGCTTTATTATTCAAGTATAAATATATAAGTCACTTCTCAAGAGCTTTTTTTTCTTACTGTGGTACAAAAAAGAGATGTGTATAGAGATAGAATTTGTGGTTGTATTTGATTTTCCATTTGTCACTCATCTGCAGCGTTTTTCCATTTTTCTCGTATCTTTTCATTCCAGTCCAAATATGCGAGTGTCCTTCATAGTGTTTTCATCAAGAGCAGAGACTGTGTTACTGCTCACTGGAGACAGGTATGGAATCAGGCTTGCATGAAGTATTTGCAGTCCCTAGTGTAAGAAAGCTAGTAACACGCCATGTGTTTGTGTTGTATTGTACATTAAAGACGAGTAAATATTTATAGTGTAAAGGTTTCCTTTATGTAGATGTGGTTCAATGACTCTTTAAAATGACCATGTCATCATATTGCATGCATAACATTTAGTAGAATATTTTTCTCACATTCAGTCATCAGAATATTTCTTGCTTTTCATTATCAGGGGAAAAATTCATGATGGCCTGAGGATTTTAAATGAGGTCAAACCAGCAGGAGAAACCTATATGCATGAAGGAATGAAATTGGTAAATATATGAACAGACTCAAATATATGAACAGTGGAATGAAATTTTTACAATTAATTTATCAAACAAATAGGCTTTTTTTCATGTTTTGAGGACACTCAAGTCAGCTTGACTGAATGTATTTCCTGTACTTTAGTCTTTTACTAGAATAAACAAAATAATACTGTAAACTGATTGGTTCCCCTCGTGACTATGATGAGGCATAATTACATCTATCTAAATAAACACACCACATTCAATGCCCTGAATCTTGGATCATGTCTTTACAATAATAGATACATTATATATATTTTATACAGTATATTTATATAAATTACTGTGCATTTTTATTCCTGCCATTTTTGAGAAAATTAGGTTTCTACTGATACAACTTAATAACCCCTCCTTCTTTCCAGGCATCTGAACAAATGAAAGAACAACAAAAAAAGTCCTCTAGTATCATTGTGGCCTTAACTGATGGAAAGCTTGAACCATATATCCATCAACTCACTAAGGATGAGGTGAGCTGTTGTCTAACACTTTACATAATTTATACTTTTATGGCAGCAAATAATTACATTGTTATGACTTATGCTGTGTTTATAGGCTGATATAGCAAGGCGTTATGGAGCTCGTGTATACTGTGTTGGCGTAAAGGACTTTGATGAAGAACAGGTGATGGTGGCATTCCAGCAGATTTTAAAATAATGTCCATACTACATTCATGCACAGAATCTATTTGCAAATAACACTTCAAATGCTCTCTAAGGCTCCACCCAGAGCAGGGTTTTTGCAGAGTTGCCTGTTATTGCAGGACTGCTGCTCTTTTCCTGTTTCTCTAGCAATGACAATAACTGAGTTAAAGGAGAGGAAATGTCAGCAATTTATTTTTCTTGCTTGTCTATCAGCCCTGTTATTATTATATTTCTATTTGTCTCCCAACAGCTCGCCGATGTGGCTGATAATAGGGAGCAAGTGTTCCCAGTCAAAGGAGGCTTTCAAGCTCTCAAAGGCATCGTTAATTCGGTAAGTTCTGCATGCAAAGGGGCACCCATCCCAAAAGGTGTCATACATACCTCTGTGGTTTAAGTCAAGGAGTTCAGCCTGCAAAGTGGGCTAAAAAATGTAGGTCCCTATGATTTCCACAATCCAGAAATGTATAATGTGCAATGTCACATAATTTGGCACATTTTGAGGTAAAGGGTTAGTTCACCCAAAAATGAAAATTAAGTCATTAATTACTCACCCCCATGCTGTACCAACCCTGTAAGACCTTCGTTCGTCTTCGGAACACAAATGAAGATATTTTTGATTAAATTTGAGAGCTGTATCACTACCACATAGGCTCCTAAGGGAATGACACTTGACGGCCCAGAAAGTCAATGAAGAAAATGTTTAAATATTCCATGTGACTACAGTGGCTCAACTATAAGTTTATCAAGTGACGAGAATACTTTTTGTGCGGAAAAAACAAACAAAAATAACGACTTTATTCGACTATTCCTTTTCTTCCTTGTTCGCCTGAAACGAGACTTCAAGAGATTTCCACGACGCATGCGCGAGAATTGCGATCTCCTTCAACTACTTCAGTTCAGTTCTCGCGCATGCGATGTGGAAATCTCTTTCCACAACGCATAGAGATACTCAGAGATACTGCCTTTCTGGAAAGTCGCGGCCAGGTGTCGAATACGGCGTGTTCACTGTGTTGATAAATGAGGCATCCTAGCCACAGTGTCCAGTTCTATTCCTTGAAAAGAATCTGGCTGGCTGGGCAGTAATGAGCTCTTGATCCAGTTGACCATGAGACCCAGGCTTTCCAGATGACTGTGGAGTACTGTTCTGAGAGTTAAAAGTTCTATCTCTGACTGTGCCAGAATCAGCCAATCTTCCAGATAGTTCATAATTTCCAAGCCCTGACTTCTTAATGGGGCGTGAGCCTTGCCATGCACTTCGTTAATGTACGGGGTGCTAAAGACAGGCCAAATGGCAGGATGGTGTATTGATATACCTGACCGTCGAAGGCAAATCTCAAGAATGGCCTGTGACGGATATTATCTGAATCTGAAAATAGGCATCTTTTATATCGAGAGAGATAAACCAGTCCCTCGGGTGAATTTGCGCGAGAGGTTTTCTGGTCGTAAGCATTTTGAATAGTCTTCTCATCAAGTGTCTCAGATCTAAAGTAGGTCTGAGGGATCCGTCCTTCTTGGGTATGTTATACACTTGAGATTTCTCTGTTGTGTGCTGGCAAGTGGGTTGCATTAACGGCTCGCTGGCTGTCGAATACACCGCTGCAGTCACCTATTTCAAAGGGGACTGACAGAGCGAGATATTTCGACGGTGGTCCGGCTGTGGCGGGACTCAACCGCCTTTTCCTTATTGCTACCGCTGTCTCGCGGAGAATGGTGCATTCCACTCAGTGTGGAGTTCCAACATAAAAAGCCAGGATAGAGCAGGTGTCACCTCTGCATCTTCTTCCGCCTTGCATCAGGCTCAGGCGGTCTTTGTGAACGGCGCTTCTTCTTGCGGTCCAGCAGAGGGCAGAGTGACAGCTTCGGCGTTGAACACCTCGAGTCGAGCCCGCAGGGTTCGACATCAGGAGTTCTTTGCAGTGGACCCAGCCTCCACATGAAGAGAGAGGGCTGCGTGGTCTGGGCCCAGGCAGAGAGCACAGATCACATGATGCTGAGCGGGGCTCTGCACGAGCCACAGGAAGTGCGAGACATCTTTAAAAAATGTCTCGCTGCTCTTTTAGAAGGGTGGTGTTGCAGTGGCGAACACGCACAGAATAGAGCTTAGCACTAGACTTATCATGTTAACAGTCCCCTGGAGCAAAAAGTGCCTTACTCAAGGGAAAATGCTGAGAGAAACTACAACAAGCCCATGTTTTAACCCTTAAAGGATTAGTTCACTTTTGAAAAAACTTTTGCTGATAATTTACTCACCCCCATGTCATCCAAGATGTCCATGTCTTTCTTTCCTCAGTCGAAAAGAAATTAAAGTTTTTGATGAAAACATTCCAGGATTTTTCTCCATATAATGGACTTACATGGGAACCAGACGGTCCAAGGTCCAAACGACAGTTAATAACAGTTTCAGATGCAGCTTCAAATGTCTTTAAACGACACCAGACGATGAATAAGGGTCTTATCATGCGAAACGATCGGTTATTTCAAAACTTTTTCCAAAAATGTAACTTTTCTAAGGACAAATGCTAGCCTTGCTCCATTCTGTAAGGCGCGTTTGTAACGTCACGTAATACGTAATTACGTTCAAAAGGTCATGGGCGACGTAGCCGGAAGTACAGAATCAAAATCGTCCGACATCGTTGTTTTACCTTTTAATTCCTTTTTTGTAAATGGCGTTTGAGTTAGTTTGCTGGTTCAACCTATGCGTTTAACTTGTAAACACTCTGACTCTTTACTTCTGGCTACATCGCCCGTGACCTTTTGAACGTAATTACGTATTACGTGACGTTACAAACGCGCCTTACAGAATGGAGCAAGGCTAGCATTTGTCCTTAGAAAAGTTAAATTTTTGGAATAAGCTTTGAAATAACCGATCGTTTCGCATGATAAGACCCTTATTCATCGTCTGGTGTCGTTTAAAGACATTTGAAGCTGCATCTGAAACTGTTATTAACTGTCGTTTGGACCTCGGACCGTCTGGTTCCCATGTAAGTCCATTATATGGAGAAAAATCCTGGAATGTTTTCATCAAAAACCTTAATTTCTTTTCGACTGAGGAAAGAAAGATATGGACATCTTGGATGACATGGGGGTGAGTAAATTATCAGCAAAAGTTAACTAATCCTTTAAGCCATTCTATATCTATATCTTGTGTTCTTTTGAAATAGACATATTTTTTCAGTTAAAAATTGGCTTCAGACATATGCATGATGCTAAAGCAGTCCAGATTTGTTATTTGACTAAAATAAAGTTTTTAAAAAATGCTGTTTTGTAAAGCAAATTGATAAAATATACCTTTTGAAGGCTCTAGCATCACTTGGTTGTATATTGTTAGTTATAAATGACTTTGTGAAACAATGTGTTTGTTGACAATTCATTTGTGATACTTTCCATTTGCTTCATGATGCTTTGAAATGTTCCTTGTCTTGGCATTTACCAATGATGCGGTTTAACATTGTAAACATGGTACGAAGACTGAACATCATCTGCCATCAGTAAACCATCAACAGCTGAGGTCAGTGTTGTTGAACATGGGTGTGTTGTTTTGTGACCACAGCAATCAGTTTCTGGCATATTTTTTCAGATTTAGTCATGCAATACATAAGACAGGACCTCCTTGTAATTTATTGTTTTGTTAAGAAAAAAGATATGAAAAAAAGACCCATCATCTCGTTTCTTAGTTAGCTTGTTTGGCCAAATGTAGTTTTAGGCCCACCGAAACATAGGCATTCTCTAGTGATTAGTAATCTTGGAGGCTGGGCTAGTTGGCCTCATGTTGCTCTCTGCTCAGATTTCCAGGATTTGAGATCATCTGTGCAGCTTTGCAGTCCGGGGCTAAAGTAGACTTAACAGAGATTTTGCAAAAAGCAAAAGCCTAAAGAATAGATTTATTCAGGCCTATTTTAATATTCCAAGAATGGTTTGAATGATGGCAGTTTATTTTTTATATATATATATATTGTGTGGCCATATCATCATACTGTATATGGTTGACTGGTGCATATCTACACTACTGTTCAAACGTTTGGGGTTAGTAAGATTTATTTATTCATTTATTTAAGAAATTTGCTATCGCTCTAACAGACAGAAAGAACTAAGCATGTTTTTCTGAGTAAAACACAATGTTGACCCAATGGTGATTATGAATGGGAAAGATGTTGCTGTCAGATGAGGTCAAGAACATTTTCAGCCAAATTTGTAGTGCTAATTCTCACACCACTGACACCTCGGCTCCTATACATCATACGGTGAAGTCATGGCAGTATCATGCTGTGGAGTCGTTAGAGAAGAATGTCAAAGCAAAACACTGGAGAATACTGAAGCTTGGAAAAAAGAAGAAGATTTTCAGCAGGATGGTGGTAAAAACCTAGTGAAAAAGGTCAATCACGTTTTTTTAAAGAGATGTCTAATAATCATAGATAGATAGACAGACAGAGAGACACAGATGGATGGATGGAAGCTCTGATATGCTTTAAGTCTAGTCCTGTGTATAGAGACCTGTCAGAGAAAATAAGGTGAAAACGTCTTGCAATGAACATCCCTTGTATCGTGCCGTCTCATAACTCATTAAAGACCCATAAAGACCATCCTGAATATTTTTCAGCCCTGACGTTTATTCAGTGTTCCTTCTCCCCTTTAATGATAGCAGAGTTTATCAAGTGTCATATTCAATCCGCCTGTTTTATACATGTCCTCCACTTCAGTATGAAGCCTCATCTCCGCTGCAGGTGATTTGGAGGACCATATCTTTCTGTTAATGTTGTCTTTTTGCCTATTGTGTACAGAGATTTGCATACTTTGTCCTCTGTTGATTTGTGTGGATGATGGGAGAGGCGATGGTGTCCTCTCACAGGCCTGTTTATATGATAATGTCAGCCTGCGGTCTCTAATAGAGCTGAAGAGGGAAAATGGCACCGCATAATTTCCCCATAACGGCTGACACGGGTCTATCCGACACCGCACTGTATGGGATGCTCGTCTCATTGAGCTTGATTTGGCATAGCAAACATCTCCGGCGTGAATGCTAAAGACCCGGACACTGTGATAGCTGATATAGTGATTCAGCAGTGACAAGTACTGATTTTAATACTTTTTTTTTTTTTTTATCGTTCAGATCCTCAAGCAATCATGCACAGAGATCCTAACAGTGGAGCCGTCCAGCGTCTGCGTGAACCGTAAGCATTTCAAGGGCTTTTACAGCTATCAGGGTGGATGAAATTGCCTTTGTGTGTGTGTGTACGTGGTCGTTGATTTGGGTGAACGCCCAGGAGTGCTTCTCATTATGTCCTCATCTGGTTTACATACCACAGAGTCCTTTGACATTGTTTTAAGAGGGAACGGGTTCACACTGGGGAGACAGAAAGAAGGAGTTGTCTGCAGTTTCATAGTGGATGGAGTTACTTACAGTAAGTATGAAAATACCACATATATTGCCCTCAGTCTTACCCTCAAGCTTGATATGATATTCCATAGATAAAGCCAAATGATAAAAGAGAGATGTTGTGTCTGTGAAAGTCAGTTGTATCATACAGGAACTGACAAGGTGGTCACACCTAGCATGCAATGCATCTAAGTTGCAAGACGTTTTTTGTGGCTTAACTGTCACTTTAGGTTACTAAAGACAGTAAAAGATACTCAAATAGACCAGCAAACATCTAAATCAGTGGTTCTTAACCAGGGGTCCACTGGGGACCTCAGCAAACTTCCAAAAGAGCTCCAGGATGACTTCATATTATTTAAATTCTTATTAATAAAATTGGTTTAATGTATTAATAATAGCAATCTAACAACTGAAATGCTCCATTTATGATGGAAAGACACAATTATTGACACCCCCAGTTTCTGTTCAAATATTATAATTTTATATTATATATCAAAAACATTGAAAACGTCTAAAGCAACAATATTTTCGTGCAAAATTTTCTCAATGGGATAGTTTAACCCAAAATTGAAAAATTCTGTCACCTACTCATCCTCATGTCATTCCAAACCTGTATGACTTTCTTTATTCTATAAAACATAAATGAAGATGATAAAAGAAAAAAAAATCTCTGCTTTATTTATTTTCCATACAGTGAAAGCCAAGGGAGTCCAACACTATTTGACACCAATGACTTTCATTGTATCAAGACATTTTTCAATACATCTTCATTTGTGTTTCACAGAATAAAGAAAGTCTTACAGGTTTGGAACGACACTAGGGTAAGAAAATTATCATAATTTGTGTGTGTGAAGTTGAACTGTCCCTTTAAATGTGTATAACAGTCATATAAATGTTTTTTTCATTAGTAGTCATATGCTATAGACCATTTCACAAGATGTAAACAACACTGGTCCAGAAGCACTTCCTGTTTCAGTTTTTTAACACTACAAAAAAGCTGGGATGAAATACAACCAACAGAACATTTAAAACTGAATCAAAAAGTTAAACAAACATCTTTAAGAGGTTTTCTTTACATGTGAAATAAAGAAAATAGTTGCAAACTGAAACAGGAAGTGCTTCTGGACCAGTGTTGTTTACATCTTGTGAAATGGTCTATAGGGTCACTATACTCTGCACTTTAGTGCTGTCCCTATCAGACACGGAATAGTGTTTCCTTTATGAGTGCAAAACCATTTGACGACAGATCCTCATATGGGATCCACATGTTTGCTCACTGCTATTGGAACCAGACAGGAAATACATAAACGTTGAATTCTGGGTGCCTTCAGCAGTGATGCGGCAAAGGAATCATTTTCAAGTGGGATGAAAAACCTAGTTTGGCAATGGATCATAACAAAATCAACTTTCTATTCATTTTGCAGAGGAAAAGCCAAGCAAGGTGAAGGATAACTATGTCCTGTGTCCTGCTCCAGTGCTGTATTCAGTGGGACAGTGAGTATTTATGTTTCATAAAGCTGCAAGTGTCATTAAGATCTCCAAATGTACAGAAAGCATGCATTGAACTCAATTAAATGTTTCTTGCATAATTTCAACCCCACATGAATAGACTGTTACAGCCTATCGTGCATACTATGAACTGAAACATTATGACCCATTAAATTATCATGTGATATGCCAGCCTAAAATGTCATGTTACAGCATTATGTTATTGAATTGACTGAGACACAGCACCCTGTGTAGATCTGGGATTAACAGTGAGCAGCTTGTGTGAAATTATGGTGCGACTTACCCGGGACGTTTGATCCCCTATACGTGGTCGCCGTTCAAAAGGCTTGCTTAATTAACTCTTGGCTGGCAATTGTGACCCATTAAGTAGTTTGCTGCTATGAACGGCTAGTAAACACATCTGGTGGAGGGCTTTAAAAGGATGTGCGACAGATGCACTGATTCCCTTTACCATGCTCCCATTTAAATAATTCAGGATGCATAGGCGACCACATAACACCTGCATCATGTCTGAGCGCTAGAAATTTCTTTCTACCTGTCTATCTATCTGTCAAGTTTACATTGCTGCCAATTTTTCAGCATTTCGAGGAATGCCACCTAGAAAACCAGTTGGTCATATTTGCAGACAAACTATATATGAGTTGTCCTGAACAATCCTTCCAGGAACAGACCACTAGGGAATATCAGATAGTGTCTTTTCTGAGGCATTTTGGGATTCAGAGGGTCTTTGTGGTTCAGTGACGTAGCGCCAGATATCAGGGTCTCATCTGCAGCGACAGCTGTTGGTTCGTCAAACCAGGATCTAGGGCATCTGTCAGCCTGCCCATTAGCGCTGGCCGGCCCCGTCCCTTCGAGTCATTGGCTGGAGGGGGTGAGGAACTTTTGTCTGGCAGCAGCATGTCCTCACCTGCGTTTTCACAACAACTGCGGAGTGAGAAAAATAACTGAGGGACAGACCTGACACCTGCCTGCAGCGCGAGCGGTGGAACGTGCCTCATCAATAATCAATCTGATCTGTCAGGCCGCCATTTTAGTTCCATCTGTGTAGGGGGTGGAGATGCAGCCAGTTAACATGGCAGCACTGCCTCCACAGGAGAACCTACTCTCACTCTGCTCGATGATTAAAAGGTTACTCTGTCCAAAATGAAAGGCAATGTTGTACTGAATTGGTTTATTTATTTTTGAATCAAAGTGTGATGTTTTCAAATATGGATATGTCACATTGGATTTTTCACTAGTGCTTGGAAGCTACTTGCCAAGCTACAAACCAATCATGATTCGAATTAGCTAATCTAGATTCAGTCCATTCTTTTGGAAAAGTAGATCTACTGCCATTCAAAATTTGGGGTCGGTAAGATTTTGTAATTTTTTTCAAAGAAGTCTCTTATGCTAAACTGTTGTTTAAAATGTGCTATTTGTATATAATGTTAAATTATATGCTGAATTTTCAGCAGCCATTACTCCAGTCTTCAGTGCCAAATGATCCTTCAGGAATTCAGAAATGCTAATTTAGTGCTCAAGCAACATTTCTTTCTATTAGAAAAGTTCAAACTATTTGTGCTGCTTAATATTTTTGTCGAAACTGTGATACTTTTGTTTTAGTATTATTTGATGAATATAAAGTTTAAAAGAGCAGCTTTAGTTTGAAATGGAAAATATTATAAAACATTATAAATGTCTTTACTCTCATTTTTGATCAATTTAATGCATTATTTCTAAATAAAAGTATTAATTTATTTTAGAAAGTCTTACTGACCCCAAACTATTGATTGCACGCTACAAGCTACTAACAAATGGCTAACCAAATTGAAGCTATTTAAGTTGTTTTTTATTATTTGTATATCAGAAACTAATATCAGTTAATATAATTTATTTTTCTAATCAGAGCAGTTTTAATCTGACACAAAAACTATTAGAAAATTAAATGAAAAGTACTAGTACAAAATTGTAGGACAGTACATCGCACACAGACGGATTTAATTAAGAAATCTATATGAATCTAACAGATTTAACTTCAGAAAGTAAAGTCAGTCAGTGCTGATGCATATGTTAGGCCTTCAATAATGCAGGTTTTTCACTTTTATTTTGAAAGGGAAGTTAGAAAGCTCTTAGTGACACCCGTGTCATCCCATTCAGCTTGCTACGTCACGTTCACTTTCCATCAGCATGTGTTTTGTGACAAGGAATCAAACTCGCACACCACTCGCAGTCTCTTGTGGTGCCATAAGGGGCCTTCTGTGATGGCAAGAGCACTTGTGTCCATGTGCTTTAGCTATTCTGCTGAACTTCTGTCACATTTTCTTCTCTGCATTTCTAGACAAAAGAAAACCATTCAATGAGGCAATCAGTTTCAGGAGACAGCTTTGAATGTTTAGCACAGGATTAACCTGTTTACAGTATAAATGTAATCTGGAGGCTTTTTGGAAAGACTTTTAGAGTTTACCACCAAGTTTCCTCCTTTGATATGCGATGTTATGTACATTGTGGTATCAGAGTACCTCTGAAGATAAATAAATCAGCCTTCATTGTTTATAACGTTTGTTGCCAATTGCAATGTCCAAGCCTACCGATTGAATGTTGTCAAGTCTCACATAAATATTCCTCCAGAAATGCTTTGTGTCCACTACAAAGTGTCCAAAAGCGATCTGAGGAATTTTAGACTATCCAGTCAAGTGCAAGGAAATAAAATAATTTAGTCTTAGATCACTTTTCATCCTTCACCAAACATACATACATCCAGCTTGATTAACAACCTGCCTGCCATTTGCATGTATTGAGTATGTCAGCTGAATTAGCCTCTCCTTTCATCCATTCAGCACACGGACCTAGTTAACATGCAAAAAACCTTTTACGAGCTTCCTCCTGCCTCAAGACTAGATATATCTAAAGGTAATGACAGTTAAAGCTAATGTAATCCAAAAGTCCTCAAGAGATCCACAAAGCAACATTACAGTGCAGTCAGAGATTGTGGTTTGCGCTGTAATAGGAAACACCTTTTAGAAAGTTAGTGCTTCAGTTGGTGGTGTTTATGGAGGAACGTTGCTGGTCTCATTGGTGGGAATGCTTTGCGCTAGACCCAAACGTTAGTGGGATTTTGTTGTTTGCTGTTGGTAACTCTTTCTTTTCTCATCGGCTCTGCAGACAGTAGCCTGTCTTTTTTACATATTCTCTCATTTTGGGAGGGATCTCAGGCGTTCAGTCAGTCGATTTCCTGCTTGAGGATTCTCATTAGCCCCATGGTAATTGTCTCCTGCATAATAGACATATGGAAATTACAATGCCGTTCATCATTAGTGCTTTAATTGCGAGCCACCTTCAACTCCTTCCACGGTAAATAAGAGAATTTCCGACAAATTCTGTAGGAATGACACCAGTGAGCTTCACTAGTATGTTTTTTTTTTCAGTTCACTTTAGCTTCTGTTAGTTTTAATTGTGTATGAATATAATTTAACTTCTGTTTTTTGAAAATAAGTATTTTTGTTTCGTTTCGGTGTAGATTTTAGTTTTCTTCCCGTTTTCGCTTAAAACCGATCCAACACTGCCTCTTTTTACTCTTGTTTTTATCAGAAATCATACTCCAAATAATCCCTAACTAGACTTTTCCTTATTTTAGCTTCCCCATTTCTGCTGTAATTGTCATCACACTACCGTATTCATGGAAAGATCTCTTCATAGCTGAATTTACTGTTACTTTTACTGTTATTTTCACCATTTATTTAAAGGCAGTGTGACTCAATATGACCTTAAACACACCATCCCATTGTGTTTGTGTTCTCTTCCTATAGACAAATGGAGGTCCTGATCAGTTTGAACAATGGCACATCGTACCTGACCAGTGCTTTCACCATAACGGCCTCCTTATGTGTAAGTCAAACTTGAGATCGGAAAGAAAACATCCATAAATGTCTCTTCATCCTATAAAATAATTTAGAGCTAAAAAATGCATTTTTTCTGTTTTTATAACATTTTTGCTATTATCCTATTTTTCGGCTAATTGTAAATATTCCCTCTCTCATTAGTCAGACGGCACAGTGGTGGCCATTGTGTTCTTGGTGCTCTTTCTCCTGTTGGCGTTGGCTTTGATGTGGTGGTTCTGGCCTCTCTGCTGCACTGTCGTAAGTGTCACATCTTCCAGCTCTCAGTGGCAAATCTTAAGATTTTGTCCCTTTTCTCACACATAATCTGGATTGATTGGGTAGATTCTGGAATTGAGATTAACATGTTTATTTTCCATATTTATAATTTCCTATATAACATTTTCACTATAAATTCTCTTTTGGTTTACATAATCTAGCTACAGTAAAATAAGAAATCAGTAGTAGGAGCTCTATTGCTGTAATATTCTTGTCTAAGCAGCATTTTTCAAAGACAGCCTTCTAAGGAAGCACAGTACATAGAAATAGACCATACCACATCCTGACTATACATATATTATTTTTTAAATGTGCAAAAACAAACAAAAAAATTGTTACCCAAGTTTGGCTGCAGACTAAAAATGAAAAGTTTGCTCTCCTATACTAATAATGGAAAAGCAGCAACACTTCTCAGGCTCTAATACACTTGTATATATAGAAGCTCTAGAGATAAGATCTAGAATTTGTGAAGCTGGCATGTATCACTATGGCAGTCAGCATCACTCTGCACAACCAAATGAAATTCACCACCTCTCTTTGAGAACCTGGTGGGAGCCATTCCAGGATGAGATGGAAGCATATTTTGGAAAACCAACAAAGGCATTAAAATGTAAACCCCCCGCAGCATGTCTGGACTCGGCCCTGTTTGTCTTGGTGGAGGAGCTGCTGTTCCTCTCCATCAGGGACCCCGGCACAAGAGAAGGGCCATGTGTGCTTTGTTAATATTTAAACTCAGCCTTGCCAGTTTTCAGCAATCAGAGAAATACAGAAGCACCTCACCCCCCACCCCTCCACAACACTCATTAGTATCCACAGCCACACCAGCATGTCCTCTGCAAATGTACCAAATATGAGTCAAATTAAATGTGGACGTTTGGTATTCATTTTGGTCATAAGAAAGTGGAGGGTCAAGTATGAAAGAATGTGTTTTTGCACCTGTATATCACACAACACTTATTTTTACCCAAACTTTAATTTATATTTTATATATAATTTAAGTGCCAATATAGTATGTACAGTTTATAATATATAATCGAAAAAAAATATCGTTACTGTTGGATAAAGGCATCTGTTTAATTATGTTTTGATAATACATTCTTAGGTCATTCATTTGTTGTTTTACTGCAAACAGGTTAATTTTATGTTAATGGAAATGCACCATTTTAATTTGCAAATATGCTACCTGCTACTTGTCCATGATCATGTTAAGCCTGGAAAACAGCTTGACACAACCGTGTGTTCAGAGGGGTGAAATGGACAGATTATAAACTCCAATTGGACAATTATCCCAAAAGCCATATGGGGATTTTGCACCGCTGGACTGTGATTGGTTGATTCCACAGCTGTGCCACTAGTTCTTAGCCCCTCATGCGAGAGTCAGATGGCTAAGTATACTGACATTTTAGATTTAATTATCAGCTCTTCATCGCCTGAAACACATTTAAAGGGTTGTCCCAGCTTCACATCTGTCCGTCAGGTAGTTTGAGAACCTAACAGCCCAGCATGTCATTTGTGTAATGCCTTATTTATCCCACAATATGGCTGGCAAATATAAATCTGTTATTTAATTACTCTGTAAAAAAAAAAAAAAGCTAATCCTTTACCACAAGGTTCTGTCCAAAGTTATGTTAATTATAACACACTGGGGCCCCATGGACGAATAGGACTGGATTTTCCAACAGTCAGTTATGAGTCAAAGAGCAATTAATTAACTCTAATTGATCATTTTCCATCATTATAATGGTAAAAATGGCAAAATGGTATCATCGCACTTTAATGCGAATGAAACAGCTGTTCTGCCCATGATATGTGATGATTAAAAGGCATTTTTTTCCTGAAAACTAATTTAGTAAATGCTTAACCTGCAATGGCACTGTATGAATCTTTCATGTTTAATGAGACAAGGCTTGCTTCCATTTTGGAAAGCATCTGCAATGAAAGGGGTTACATGGTTGACTGGTGAAACCTGGTCACATCCAAGGCGTTTTATCTACATTGTTGGAGTCTATTCTGTTACACAGGCTCAAGTTTTCAAATTACACATGTAGCCTTTACATTGCAGTATTTCGCCTTTTGTCTATTAACACATTTACCCATCACATCCAAGAGTGGTTAGATGTGTCAGGTCAGTTGATAAGCAGTTTGCTGAGCAGTCACTACAACAGAGTCTGACAACCACAGAGTCAGAGGATGCCAAAGACATTCCCAGTGATGAAGACATCTTCTCTGTGAGAGAAGTCACCTGCTGAATCCAGCATAGTGTTTCTCATGACAGATAGGCCGTCACAAAAAGTGCCACAGGAAGACATTTCATCCTGTTAACGCTCCTCTCCTTTGCACTGGGGATTGACCTGGAGTGAAGCCCAAGTTTCCCTTCTGCATTTCATTGCAGCTAATTAATTCCTCAGGACTTTATGATTGGGGAAATGCATGGGGATTGAACCTCATCCAATTAATTAAGAGATAAACGGACCACCATGCTCACCCCAAAGACTCCCCTGTCAACAAGTTGATTTTTGAGCGTTCTTTATTTTGCACAAGGGGCCTACAGCGTTCGTTTACAAGCAAACCCTCTACTCAATTGTGGTGGTCTCAGGCTTCAGTTGTTCAATTGTGAATCACATCCTTAGACAGCGATAACTAACTTTGCTTAATTAACTTTGCATTTTTTCCTATCTCTTGTCAGGTTATTATAGACCCACCCCCTCAAAGAACTCCTCGACCTCCACCTCCACCTGTAAGATTATTTTTTGAATAAAATATAAATATTTTATAATGAAATTTTTTTTGAATGTATATACATTTGATATAAAAATATATATTATAGAGTACATACAATGTTTATTTACTGTTAATTTGAAGGTGTTGTTCTTAAAATATTTTAAATATACATGAAAGTTCAAAAGTTTTGGGTCAGTACTGTTTTAATTCATCAAGGAATCCTGAAAAAAGTCAGCATAATAGAATGATTTCTGGAAGATCGTGTGACACTGAAGACTGGAGTAATGATGCTGAAAATTCAGCTTTGCCATTACTGGAAAAAAATTACATTTTAAAATATAATAATTTGAATGAATATTTGACAGTATTACTGTTTTTAATGTATTTTTTTTATCAATAGAGTGGTGCTGGTGTGACGTCACTTAGTAGGCCAACCAGCAGTTATAATCACACTGGTTTTTCCCATAGGCTTTTGGATTATCGCTTAAAACAATCTCTCTGATCAACAAAAGTTTATGATATTTGCGCGATTTGTCCATCAAGATAACTTTTATGAATTTTGAAGCCTAAATGTAGTCGTGTGAAGTAAAAAGCTAAAGCTAGGCTACAAACGAACTACACCACAGTACCATGAATTCAACGTCACCATCACTAACCTTCCAACAAATATCAAATATCAAATAACATTTTTCTAGAACGTTTGATTTAGTTTTTAACATTTTTCTAGAACGTTTGATTTAGTTTTTAAGATCACAATTACAAACATAACAAGGCTGTAAAAGCGGACTGGGTGATCTTACCTGTTCGGCATGATAACGTTTAATATCCTCGACAGCCTTTGTAGTCCCATTTAGCAATTTGCTGAAAAACAATCACGAGTGGGGTAATACTGATGAATATTATGTTGTAGAATAAAACGTCAAAGTGTCTTGAGCTTGTGCTCACCATAGAGCTTATTTCAGCCATTTAACCAAAACCCCATTCAAAAAACCCATTGACTCCGGGACAATTGAACTGGAATTGCTAAAATGATAACTCGCTTCCACTTTTTGGCCTACAAAGTGATGTCATACCTGCACCACACTATTGGTGAGCAAAAGTGACTTCTTTTAATCAAAACTTTTGAAAGGAAGTGTACATAAAGATTGTAATTACGCAATTGCTCTTGTATTTGCAATGCACATATTTCTTTGTGGCTTTAAGTCTCAATTTTATTTATCTTCTGTCCATATTTTTGCAGAGACCAGAGCCAGACCCACTACCCAAGAAGAAGTGGCCAACTGTGGATGCATCTTACTATGGAGGAAGAGGAGCTGGTGGAATCAAACGCATGGAGGTAAACGTTACATTTGAACCTATAATGATGTGCAGCCCCCTGATGACAGAAAATGTTTCGATGTCATCACAGCTGTCTTTAAGCATTTTCCAGTCTACCACCACGTCTCTCTCTCTCTTTCTCTGGGTGTAGGGGGTAGGGAGGGTTAATTTTGCATGGAGACTGGAGCAAGTGGATTTTAGATAACTTGGACCATTTTTGTTTTCTTTGGCTTTCTCTTACCAGTGACCATGTACTGAGAGTTGAGCAATGAATTGAAAATCTGGAGTGGACATTGAGCTGAGTAATTTTAAAGTGCTTTGATTGGGGTCACATGGACAATATTGACACCATATCAGTCATCGGCTGACATTAGAGATTTCAGTCATTTCAATATAAGCCATTCATGGGTTATCGGATATAACATGAATATAAATATCGGTGCATCCCTAGTCACCTGCACTGTTCCAGTCTTTGCATTACTTGGATATATTGTTGTAGAAACAAATATTGAACTAACTAAGAAAGCTTATTATTCTCTTGATCCACAGAAGAGCACTTGTTCTTCTTTCCTGTATGAAAGCCATTGTGTCTGTGATGTCAAGCTCAGCACACCTCAAAGGTTCTGATAGAAATCTCTCTTTAAATGTATCACAGCCCCTGACTGATGGTTTTGACGTGACAGGGCCCTGCCAGTTAGGCCTCAACGATGTCCCGCTGTCTTAAGTCATGTTGACGCTAAAGGATTGAGAACTGCTGTGACGAGATTAATTCCTCTTGCTGACTTCCATTCTGTCATTCAACTTTTGTTCATATTTGTTTCATGCTCAGCCACCCCTCCTCCAGTCTCCCATGTAAAGAAGAGATCTCTGAATTTTCTTCTGGAAGCTTTGGAAAATCGTTTCTACTAACCTTTCCCATTAGTGTGCAAGGGATGAGATGGGCTCAGGGCTACAACTATCTTTAATGTTTAGAAAGCTTTCATTCATCCAGACAACCTATCTCCATTTCTGAAGCTATCTCTGGACCTGTGGAGGAGGTTTACCTAAGTATGCCTACTTCCTCTTTACTTAAAACGCATGCTGACCTGTGAAGATGGAAATATGGGATGCAAAGAATGTTTTATTAATTGAGAGTTGTTGTCCAGGGATTCTATTGAAAAGCTTTTCTATATTGATGTGACTTAATTTATAGCTTGAGAAGTGCAGTTATAATTAAGCACTTTTCAGTGGGGGACAGGCCGAGAACTAAGAAAAAGTACTTTATTGTATGTATATATATTTATATATACTTTTGATTTATTTAATGTAATGTAATATAATCTAATATGATACATTTTCTTTTTCAAATATCTGTGTAGGTCCGTTGGGGAGAGAAAGGGTCCACAGAGGAGGGCGCACGGCTAGAGAAAGCCAAGAATGCAGTGATATCGATACAAGAGGAGGCCGAAGAACCCATGATCAAAAAGCCAACTGCATCCCCACCCACATACCATCAACCTGAATCCAAGTGGTATACTCCTATCAGGGTGAGTCACTTCCTGTTGCAATTGAGGCTATTATCATCTTTCTGTCGCCTCTTTTTCCTTATTTTGAGTACATCTAAAAGTTCCACTCTATAATTTTTGAAGCCTTTGCTTGAGATGAGTGGAAAAATGAGCCAAGCTAAGGCCACATATTGATATTTCTTGTTTTATCATAGGGCCGCCTTGACGCACTGTGGGCTCTTCTGCGGCGGCAGTATGACCGAGTTTCGCTCATGCGCCCAACGACCGCAGATAAGGTAAGCCACAGATGGTTTACCCCAATACAAAATGCAAACATGATTCATCACTCTTGTATACTCCCAAAGTTGAGCCAATCTATTGTTGTACATAAAGCATGGGGTGTCAATGTGTGGTGTAAGCGTTCATGGGATATTTATGAGTGTGTGAGTTTGTGTGTATTAAATGCGTGCAAGTTTCACAAACCTCAGCTGCAAAGACTCACAACAGGATGTAACTGTCATGAACTTGTGCTGCAGATACTTCCTCTTTTGTAACGTTTGTAGAGCAATAATACATGTCCACAAAAAGTCCTATGAATGTGCAAAGACAACATTCAGAGGCATTCAATTTAAGAACAGAATGTGCTGTTTTGTTTTCATTGTTGCATAGATTACTCAACCATAGAAACGTTTCTTATACTTACCAAGGCTGCATTTGTTTGATCAAAAAAATAGTAAAATAGTAATATTGTGAAGTTTTATCACAATTACAAATAACTTTTTAACTCTTTTTTTTTTAATAATTTATAAAGTATTTCTTTGATGGCAAAGATAAATTTTCAAATTTTTTTCAGCTGAGTTTTTAATGTAGTAGTAGAAGTACTGTTTTATATTTTTTTTAGGAATATTTTTCAGGATATTTTAATAAATACAACTTTCAAACGACTAGAATTTATTGGAAATGGAAATCTTATGTGACATTATAAATGTCTTTACTGTTACTTTTAATCAATTTAATGCATCCTTGGTGAATAATAGTATGAATTGACTGTAATATTTTGAACTGTAGAGTATATAGAATATGAAGTGAGACAAAATTAGCACTGAAGTAAACAGGCTTCACAAGTCTGTGCTGACTACGTGTGTACTACAATTGAAAAAAAAAAATCCAAAGTAGTGCACTGTTTGAAACATTTGTTTGGGTTTGTTTCATCTTGAAAAAGCCCTCACCGCATCCGTGGTGCTGGTGCTCCCATTAGCTGAAATATCCCAGTCACGCTTGAGCCACTTGTTCGGTTTTACTTTCTTCAAAAGAACTGTTAAAACCTTTGTAACTCTCAATACATCTGAGATGAGGGTCTGGAGCCTCCAAGCGGGACCCTGGCACACTTCAGTGAGGCCACAGCTCGATCGTGCAGACTTTCAAGCCCTTGATCAAGTGCACTGGGTGCAGGCATGAGCTATCAAAGCCCGAGGAGTCCCTCGCCAGAGCCAAGGTGGGCCGCGTACTCTCAGCTAGAGAGAGGGGGGCTTTGATGCCCGACAGGAACCCTCGGGGGTCATGAATTTTTCAGCGTTGGATCCATGGGGTTACGAGGACTCATACAGGTGTAAGGAAGCAGGTTGTCGCAGACATCTGTTCAGCTCGGAGACCCCTCCCGGCCCCTCCCCCCACTCCGCCCACAGACAGACTGCTGGATTGTCAGCAGATGTAGTTTTTTCAAGACAGCCTGAACACTTTCTGCTCTCCCATTTACCGCCTGAGGGGCTCCAACACCAAAGGTAGAGCGGAGGGTGGACACAGCTGCACTGCCGAACTTGCCTGGGGCACAAATAAAGAGATCTAATGTGGTTTGACTGTGTTGTTAGGGAGACCGGGGAGCCAGAGAGGCACTTCAGAGCCAGCTTAGCGCTGCAACATCTGCCGTCAAGTTTCCGGAAAGAGCGGCAGGGGACAGCAGGTAGAGAAGGTGGCAGCGCGTCAAGGGCTGGCCTATTACTGGCGGGGGCTCTTTTGAACGCACGCACGCCCGCCCGCTCGCCCGCCCGCCCCTGTGTTTCTCTCTCTTTCTCGCTCCCACCTCTAACTAACAGTCTCGGCAGGGCTCGGTATTGTTTTACAAAGCAGCAGTCTGCAAAACACACTAATAAGCACCTTTATAAATGATACATTAACATACATTAACCCTAGAGAGCTGCCACACAAAGGCAAAATCGAGATGGGACCCATAGAAAAGGCTTTTGTTTCTCCTGCTGCTGTGGGTCTTAAAAGGATTGTTCACTAAAAAATGTCAATATTGTCATCATTTACTCTACCATTCAAACGTTTGGGGACGGTAATATTTTTTTTTTTTCTGTGTTTGAAAGCAGTCTCTTACTTCCACCAAGGCTGCAATTGTTTGATCAAAAATAGTGATAGCAAAACACATTTTTCAGCAGTCATTTATATTTCTTTTCCCCAGGATTATTTGATTAATAGAAAGTTTAAAAGAACAGTATTTATTTGAAATAAAATCTTATTTTTTTATCATTATCATATTGGTCAATTAATTGCATCCTTGTTGAAGTATTAATTTCTTAAAAAAATACACATATTGACCCCAAACTTTTAAACTGTTAAGTGTATCATCCTACAAAATTAGCCCTGAAGGAAACAGACTGTGCATGTCCATGCTGTTTACGTGGAGACTATGATTTAACTTATCTTCCAAAATAGGGAATTTGAAGCATTTGTTTGGTTGTTTTAAGATTAAATAGTAGTTCTCCCAAAACTGACAGTTCTATCATCATGTCGTTATGTTATTCCAAACCTATATGACTTATAAGTAAGAACTAAGAAGATAGTTAAACAAATGTCTTCTAACAATGAAAGTCAGGTAGCGTACAGTGTTGATTTGTACTTCATTGATTTAACATTTAGTTAAATTTAAAATTGTGTTTCTCAAAAGAAAGAGTCATATTGATTTGCAACGCCATGAGAGAGTAAATTATGACAATTTTTTTTTTATTGCTTTTGTTTCCATACTAGAGGCTTCGGGGGTGGTATGAGAGTAATGATGATAACTGATGGTGATTATAGATAGGGTGATTTTACAATATTCATTTTCAAGACGTCGTTCCGCGGGATTTGTTATTTTTTGAGGAAATCAATCCTCATTTTGTCACTGGTTTCAACTCCCACACTCTCTTACTCGGGCTGAGCCGATATTGTCAGATGTTTCGAAGCCAAGGCAAGCTCAATGTGTAATACAGACATGATTTTCAGATTGCAGCCCCCACACCCCCAGAAAGCATTGTTCAAGACGTATAATTTCACTTTAGCGTTGTCTCTGCATACATTAAACCCTATTAAAATCATTCTCTGTATAACACGTACCTTATTAGCCCATGCCGACTGCTTGCCTCCTTAGGGCAGTGCTGTAATGAGGTGGAGTGTATTTTTAAATGGTGTAAATTCCGACCTCAGACAAAGAAAACATGTCAGCTCGCAGTCCCGAGGCATGGTGCTCGTGGCGGAACTTTCCCCGGCAAAAATAAATAAATAAAAATGTACTGTTGCGGCCCAGTGTGACAGCATCTTAATTTAACAGTCATCGGTCACATAAACAGAGCGGTGGGAGCATTTTAATTAAGAGACTGCAAGCGGGCGGCACGGCGGGGCCAACTCTTGAAGAATGCCATTATAGAAGCAGGAGAGAGGAAGAGAGGGAGGCAACGCTGGCATGGAGAAATAGCGACGGGGTTGAGGACGAAGGAGAGAGTGAGAACAAGAGAGAGAGAGAGAGCGGGGGAAAATTGAGGCTCTAGGCTGGCGGGCCGGGTCCCTCAGGTCGGAGGCACACATGGCCAGGCTTAGCCGCAATAGTGTTTAAGAGCCCAGTCTCATGACTGGATTAGGGCGCAGAGTGGCAGACCGCGAACTGTTTGTGTTTTACCCCGGGAGCCAAGAGAGTGAACAGTGTCCTAATGAACTAGCAAGGCCAGTATGAAGTGGGTCTGGCTGCTGTAGTGAGGGACAACTGCCTAATGAGCAGAACTGAGCTGCGCTGAACAAATCAGCGATGCAACAACCGTCAGAAAATGTGGTTTGCTTGGCGCTTGGTAGAAGCAACCTCATTTAGATATGCAATATGTGTTGCCTTTCAAGCTCCTTTATGAGATTTTTTGCAATACTTTCTCCTATTCTAGAGACTAAGCCATTTCTAGACTGATTTCCTTAAAATGCGTAAACACTGTTGCTCTTTGGTTTCAAAATATCATTGCAAAAAAAAAAGCATTTTGTTATTTTTTTGCTTTTTCTTTTTTTTTTTATTAATATCTAAATATTCTTCAAGATGTTTTCAAAGATTATATCTTGAATTATAACCCCATTTCCAAATGGTTGTTTTTGTGTTTTAAGCATACATCGAACAACATTTAGCGAGGTTTATGCTTAAAAAAGAGACAAGAATGAAGGGGAAAATTTTACATCTCAGAAAAAGTTTATTTTTAGAGGATTTTTTAATGTTTTTACTGGATAATAAGACTAAGATACTGAAAATACTGATTCGTATTTGTTATTTTTGCAGCGATTGCACTCAACATTGACTCAACCAGTGGTGTTAGTTTGAGGCAGGAGAATCTACTTAATCTGATTTAACAATTATTACTGAAATTCCAGTTAGTGATGCTGTGTGTTGACATGAATCACTTCAGCTTTAAGGCACTATTGTTTTCGGTTGCATTGAAATGACTTAATTTCTTGCCGAAATTTTCTTGCCTTTTGTCATGAATCCCATTGATATGCAGATTTCATATAATCAATGTGCTGATTAAACAAGAACACAAATTGTGTACTCGCATCTCAAGAAAAATGACAGCAGATAAGAGTGCTTAATAGTATTTAATGATTTAATCTCTCTCTCTCTCTCTGATTGTGTTATCACATGATGTTGAGTGACAAATACAGGTTTTTCTATTTTTTTCGGACTTTAGGAAAAAAAAACACTTTCTGTTCTGTGAACAGATGCAAGTGCCGGTTTCCATGAACAAATAAAACCTGGCAAATGTTATTAAGTTGAAACATACCCTAGATCAGAGGGCACAAGATTTCTAATTAATGGTGTAATTGGAATTAAATCAGAGCGTCACAAATAATAAAGCAGAGGAAAGCACTTGTTTATGGAAGCGGAGAGCTGACCGTGTAACAAAACATTATCATATTTATAGAAGTATGAGTCTTTCGCCATCTGCTGTAAATCTTCACATCTTCATAATTTTCCTTAAGTAGCTGATTTTTGTAGCCATTGCGACACCAT